TCAATATTGAAAGTTCCTTTTTCTTTTTTTTTTTTTTAAGTTAAAAGCCAAGTACAACACAGGCAACCACAGTTAAATTTCCTGGTAGTGCTTGTGAGTACCTTGGAGCTGGGGAAGACCACCTCGGTGTGGGAGATGATTCATCATTCAGACAGCCCAGTCAGAACCTTGCATGTAGAAAACTCTTATGATTCAAAAGTCAAGGAGAAGTCATTAATAATTAATAAGCGTTGAGCATAACAACTCAATTATCACCCACTTTTATAAATTCAGTCATTTAGCAATTCAACCACATCTAACTCTGAATCATTTCCCGAAAATATGTTACTGTGGAAATAATTGCAGTTATTTTCTTTTAAGAAATCATTTATTTGTCATATGCTTTTTTAGATTTAAATGAGTGGATTTAAATTTTGGAACTTTAGAACATATAGAAGGCCTACAAAATAATATATCCCAATGTTATTACTTAAAAAAAACACATAAAATTGAAACTCAGTGAAATTAAATTACTAGTCTAAGTTTAAACAGCTTAAGAGGAACCCCTAAAGTCTTCTCGGTTTCAGTTCAGGAATCTTCTCTTTTTCTATCATTTTGCTTTTAAGAGATATAGAAATTTTTACATCAAATAAAAATAATTTAATCTTTTAGAACTTTAATGGAAAATGATAACTAAATGCTTTTTGACTACATTGCTATTAAAAGGAATCCAGGTATTTATAAGGAGCTCAGGGATTTCAGCTTCTAAATTGCCCCTTATGGTATTTTAGGCACTTTTGGTGCTTCTCAGGTCTCCAAAGCTATGGTCTAAGTCTTTGTTATTATTATTATTTTAATTTTTCAATTACATTTGACATTTGATATTATTTTATATTCCTTTCAGGTGTAGAACAGACTGGTTAAACATTTATATTATTTATGAAGTGATGTCTTATATCCTGTAGTTTTCTGTCAGGGTTTTATAACCTGAGGATCATGGATGCCTAGAAAGGCCATGGATGGGTTTTGTAAGGTCAAGAACACCCGGAAATGTCATGCCACATTGTATGAATATGTGCCTATGGGTATTTTTCTGGAAGGGAAATTATCCTTTTTATCATGTATTAAAAGGAATACATATGTCCCCAAAGGTTAAGAACTAATGTCCTAAACAGAGAACTTTAGATTATTTACTTTGCTCATTTTATTTATGTTTTTAAGTTCCATATTATTAAATTTAAGTGCCAATTTCTCACCTAAACTTTGAAAATAGTAACATTTTTTCTGCCTATTTTGAACATTGAAATCAACGTTTTTCCAAAAAAATCACTTCTTAATCTATTTTTACTTGTGTAATAATAAATTATTATAAGTGAATGAATAATAAAAATACTTTTATAATAACAAGTTTCATGCATTCCACTGATTAACTTTTATTCAGCAGAAATGCTCTGGATCATTTGCTGAACTGGTCACAAACTCTTCATTTCTCCCTCCACAATTTATGGTAGGAGTGAAGAAGAGTTAAATCAAAATATAAGAGAACAAGGGCTATGAGACTAAGCCATCTTCTCACAAATCATTTCCCCTTATCAAAAATAAAATAAATTTAAACAAAAGGCTCTTCATAATGAACTAAATAAAGTCCAAAATATTTAGAATTTAAAGCTGTTCGCTATTCTTTAAGACTAATTTTCAATGTTCTTTTTCTTCAGCCTCTAAGACCTTACTTAACCTCCCCATCTTGACCTGTTGAAATCCTGCTCTTCCTTCAAGACTGGATGATGGGACAGTCAAATTCTATTGATCATGGGCAGGTGAATTTCTTGAATTATTTTTATGTTCTCTTAGTACAGGTTTGTGCGGGCTTCGGTTTCAGTGAAAGGAGACAGAGGCAAAAAATATAGTTTCCATATCACCAAGTGATTTCAAAATTTCTTATGAGAAAGAATTTAACAAAGCACGTGAAGGATCTATTCACTGAAAACTATAAGACATTGTTAAAAGAAATCGAAGGAGACACAAATAAATGGAAAGATATTTCATATTCATGGATTGGAAGACTCAACATAGTTAAAATGGCCATATTTCGCAAAGCGATGTACAGATTTAATGCAACCCCCATCAAAATCCCAATGACATTTTTTAAAGAAATAGAACAAAAAATAATCAGATTTGTATGGAATCACAAAAGACCTTGAACAGCCAAAGCAATCCTTAGAGAAAAG